TACGCTTGTGCAATTAGAATGAGATTGACCATCTCAATACTGAGATATAAGCAATTAAAAATTGCATTTTTTATACGTGTCGCCTATACAAAATTGATAAAACTGTCGCGTTTATTTTTGTAGGGCCTAAACTAGCATTGAGATTTTAATAAAAAACGAGTATGTGATGAAGGGATATGAAATGGATATTATGAATAAAATTCATAATTTTTTACCAGTTTGGAAAATAGAGTCTTTTGAAAAATATAATTTTCGATTTTTATTAACATATAGAGGCGAGTGAAGGAGGCGCCCGAGGCGGCCAGTCGAGCTGCGTTAGTCTGCGTCTGTCTGAATTAATTTTTTTCTGCGTGTGCGTGCGGTTTATGGATAGGCACAACCAAATGTTTTTTCTCACTGGCGGCAATGGGAATATCGCTACCGAGCGCGCGAAGAGACCTAACTTTTGGATGGTATTGTCGCGAGTGTACTATTTTAATTATGTTTATTTTGTTTTGGAAAATAATCGCGTTCAATCGTTAAAACAGACGACTTTAGGATCGCCTTAACAGTTTTAACATTCCAACAAAATATTTTGAGTCAACAAGAAATCATTTTCAGATCTGTTTTCAGCAAAATTTTTAGACCTTTCAAAATCGTTCTTTCCGAACGAATTTCTATGTATATGTGCAATCTACGATCGCGGATGAAAGTGACTGTCGCAACTTGCCAGACGCATATTGCATTATCCATTCATCAGGCATCAATTGCGCTCATCGATAACGACACTTTCGCTCTCGGGCATATATAAAATCGATGGCGGGAGAAAGTGGCCCACTCTGTTTCTCTCGCGCTGCGTTTTGTCGCGTAATCTAGTCGAACGAATTCTAAACGCGTTCGATAGTCTTGCTTTGGTAAAAAAAAAAAAAACGCTGTAGATACAGACACGGTAATAAGAGAGAAGTGTTCAGTTAATCAGAGAGCTCGCGTTTCCGGGAATCTCGACACATTAATTCGAGACAAGATTTTTCCGATTGATTTCCCACAAGAACAAGATCGGTGCGGATCGCTACGACGGATGCGCAGGTGGATCACGGACCTGCGAAAAGTCCGCGACCGTAACAAAACGGCATTCGTTCCTCGATTCGCGGGGATTACTCCTGGGAGGCCGGAACGCAGAACGGCACTTTGTTCGTGGATTTATAGTTCAGAGGCGAATCGAGCGAGTCCCGCGCGCGGAGCTCTCGCTGCAGTAAACCGAATCTCTCACGGTCGAAACTCGGCCGCACAGCCGAGTGGAAGATACGCTCTAGCGAGACGACTCCGGACCGTTATATCCTCTCTCCGGATCATCGAGCGCTATCTGCGAATCCGGCTGATAACAGCGGTACCTATGCGATTTAGGACGTCGCGTTAAGAACGAGTCTTAAGAAGCTCTCGTGGCACGATTTACGTGTCCGTTTATACGACTCGAACGGGACGTGAGATTGTAAGGACGCGAAATTAATAATGTGAGAACGGTGTAACCGTCGAGATACTAAAGTGTATCCGTTTTCCCGTATCGCTAGATATCGAACACATCAAAACTGCGTAGCGGTCTCGGTTCCCGATTATCAAAGTCTCTCTCAGACTCACCTGTCTGTTATTAGAGGGTCCAGCCGCTGCTCGCAGTCCTCGCACAGCTTCGTGGTCCCGGAAATCACCTGCGGCATCCCGCCGAGGAGGCTACCCGGGCCGGAGGAGACGTTGTTGCCCGTCGTCCTCCAGCGCCTCGCGACACAGCGAGTGCTGCTGGCTTGGCTGCTTTCAGACCCGACCCCGCTGTCGGTTCTCTCTATGTCGACCGTTCTCGACTGCGAAAGAACCATCGATTGGAATCCCACATTAAATAGCATGCATGCAGTTTACATTTCCGAAATCTCGAAAAGATTTCATTCGAATCGCCAATAGGTATAGCTTCAAACTCACCTTCAACGTCTCCGGTGAGCTCGTCAGGATAATGTTGCATTCCTCGCTGCTGTCGGACACGTTGGAGATCTGCGAACTCTTGGAACTGAGATCGCCCAGGCTGGTCTCCTTCTGCTCGTACAGAGCCTCCAGGTCTCCCTCGGCGTCGTCCTCCTCGTCCTCGTCCTCATCCTCGTCCTCCTCCGCGGGACGCGCGCGGTCCTTGGAATCCATCAAAAAGCTCAACAATTCGAACTTGGTGGAGATGTTATTCTCGTCCTCGGGCGACGTCGACATCTTCTTGAAGAAGTCCTCGGGACTCTTGGACAGATAGGTCTCGGCCAGATCCTCCGAGTTGGACTTCTTAAAAACCTCCTCGGACAAGTAGGGGCCGAGGAACTGGCCCGGCGTGACTTTCTTGTAATACTCGACGTCGCCGAAGTAGATTCTGTCCTTGATGTAATCCTCCGTGGGCGGCGGACTCAGGGGTAACGGCGGCGGCTCGTCGGGTATCTCCTCGTAGATCGGCTCCTTGATCACCTCGTATGGATTCTCTTCGAGGAAGAGATTCGTCGAGATGAAGTCGCCGTCCGAGTTCAGGCTGGACGAGCGCGAGTAGTTCGCTTCCAGAGTGGACTCGGAACTCTCGTACTCCTTGCTCTTCAGCAAGCTCTGCTTCAGGATCTTCAGGATGGCCTGGCCGCTGTCCTCGTCCAGGATCTCGCCGTTCTCGCGAGCCTTACGTAGGGAATCTTCGAGCAGCTTGGAGATCAGAGCCTCCTTGGACAAGTCGGACAATTTGGAGGAACTTTCGACGTCCTTGAACCGCGCCTTGGACTCCGGCCGCGCCGTTCTTTCGTGTTCCGACGTGTAAAATCTCGAAGACTGATTAGAATTGGAAGATTTAATCTCAACGCTCAGCCTCTTCTGTTTCTCGAAATTCGCCGCCGGCTGTTCCACGTGGTGGCGACACGGCGAGGAAGTGTCGTCGCCGGACGACTTTGGTGCCTCGCCGTTCATCTTCGGACCCGTCTCGCCGTTCTCGACAACGTGATCCTTCCCGATCTGTTTGGAACGCGAATCGTCGTTCCCCGACTCGACCACGATGTTCGATTTGTAATTCTGGAGTATCACCAGAGTGCGATTCTCCACGGAGTTCTGGACCTTCGGCGGATTCTCCGAGTTCACGGAGATCACCGTCGGATTGCACACGCTGTCTTCACCGCCGACGCTGATGGTCACCTTGTTGCCCGGTGCCGATTCCGCGTTTGCATTTTGATCGCCGTTGATCAGGATGGACGTTCGTCTGGCGCCTTTCTGACCGGAATCCGGACCGATCTGCAGCCGATGTACCAGCGGCGACGAGCGCGGGCTCACCGTGATCTTGCACACGTTGCTCTCGGGCGAGTTGATTTCGATCCTCGAGGATCCGTAGGAGCTCGTCGAGTTCCACGACGCCGTCGACGCTGAGGAGATCGTTCGCCGATGATCCCTGATGATCGAGTTGGCGGGACTCTCGTCCGGATCCGCGCGAGAATCGCCGATCTTGAAGCGATGCCGCTGCCTACCGGGCGGCGGAGACCAGCTCGTAGGTCTCATCATACGGAAATGCTCGTTGCTCGCGTCGGAAATATCGCTACGCGCGTCCGGCGACGGTTCAACCTCTTTTTCGGCATTATCGGCAATCTTCTCGGGAATCTCCTCGACGTTCTTCTCGATCTCGCGATCGGACTTCTTAAACTCACCGCCAGTTTCTTCCTCCGTCTCGCCTTCTCTTCTCGGCGAACTCTCTTCGTCGACGTCCTCGCGCGAAACTGCGCGCGTGGACGACGATGACGACGACATCGACGACGAGGATTCCTTAACCTTCTTGCTGAGACTGAGGCGCATCGTATCCGAGAACAGGACGTCACCCGCCGAGATATCCGGTTTATTGAACGACCGGTCGCTTTGACTCCGCGTCAAGAAGGCTTTTCTCGCGTTCTCTGCAGGCAACGATCGAGAAGGAATCAACCGATAATTAAAGGAAGTAGCGACGGTGTGGTGGAATTTTAATTCCACAATGCATGAATATATTTATATTTTAATGATTGTACACATGAAGCCCAACGTATGAAAAAGTAAAAGCTAGAAGTATTAAGTAGAATATATTTCCGTTCTCCTTTTCAAATGCTCGATTTGAAGAAAAATATCAGTCTATATATATTTCCTGTTACGAAACTCGGAAAGTATTTTAATAGCATAATTATTCCTAATTACAAAAACAAATTGCATACCACTCGGCTGCGAAAATCAGTCGTACAGTTACCACTTCCAGTGAAACATATAATTACATTATCTGACTGATCTCTTTAGCGTTTATCAACAAAATTTAAAATCGAACGAGTACGTGCTTCATGTTTATACTGTGTTAACAATTTTACAATTCTCGACATCGGACTACAAAGAAGTAAACAATCTGTGTCATTGAATTTTATGTTCGAGAATTCGATGGTTAATTTTTCTCTTCTGTCTACGTTTTGTATTGTAATAAAACATAGGCATTTCCGTTCCTTTTGTGCAAAGCGAGAATTTCCGTTTGGTTCACGGGTTTGGAGAACGTCCGCAACGCTAAAATTCCCCGGAAGGAAAACCGCAAACGAGAAGCATGAAACTGGAATTGGATACCCGTGAAAAGTACGCACGGTTGCGATTCGATACCAAAATTTACTCGGATGCTTGTCTGAGAAAGTTTACTTCTCGGCAGAGATTTATGGCGGAATCGCTTCATAATAATGTATAACTGCATTCGCAAAAGGAAAGTACATTCAACTTATTCTTTCTGGTAAAACAATCCACATTATACATCAGCATAAAAAGCAAGAAAATTCCAATTAAGTTAACGTGGTAATATGTGTGTACTCTTAGCAATTCAAAATTTATTTTAATGTTAAATGTATTGTTTCTTATTACAAGTGTGCGGATTAGTATTTGAAAGATATTATACCTGCATATTTTTATTTTGCAAAATAAAAATCTTCCACCTTGTTTTGAAAACCTTGTAACGAAATTAAAAAAGATCGAATTTATTTATTATTAAATATTATTCAAGCAAGAATATCTTTTTCAACATATCTCGTCTAAGTTCGACGTCGTTTGTTACATCAATTTCAACGCAAAGTTAATGCAAAACCATCGTCGGAGACTTCTTTCGATACGAGTCTCTAACGATCGGTGAAAGTGCGCCGATTTTGGACGGTTCACGAGCAAACGAGCGCGGAATTTCTCGTCGCGAGAAAATTCAACGGTTTTTCCACGGCTGCTCCACTTTATGCGCCCGGCAGGAATTTCTGAGACGCGTGCGATTATCCGGCTGCAAAAGCGATTGCGCAAATCGCCGATCCGCCTCGTTTATGGCTTTATGACTTGGATCAATTTCACACACGTAAAAGAAAAGATGAGCTACCGCCGTTGCAAGGTTTTGCTTTAAAAGTAAACTAAGTTGCATTGTGCCGCAACAGCTGATGAGTCTTCTTTGTCCGGATTTAACCATGTTGATCATCAGCATGGCATCAAATTTAAAACAGTACAAGATGTTCTATAAAATGCTTTCAAAAATATAAATAAATGTGCAGCCTATCTCATTTTTAGTTTATCATATTTTTTCGAATTTCATATAATAATATTTTAAATATATAATTATAAAACTAATATAACAAATTAAAAGCCTAAAATTTTTGAAACTAAGATCTGAAATCTAATATTAATAGAGTCTAAAGGTCCATCTACATCTACAATTATGAGAGTAGTAAATCGTAAGTCGTAAGAAATTGACTAATCACAGTCGAATATGAGAAGAATAATCGACTGTGATTGGTCAAGGTTTACGACTTATTACTCTCATTGTAAATGGATCTTAAAATAATCGCATGATATATATTTGGAATTCCTTAGTTCAAAGACATTACCTTTTTTCGCTACTGAAAGACGCGAAAAAAGGTATAATGTTTGCGCGCATTTTTCGCCCTGAGTTTCAACCAATTATCCGGCAAATAAGGCGATCGCAAAAAGATCGCGCATTTACATCACGCGTAGGAAATGTAAACAATGAGCCAAGAAAAAAGTCCGAAGTGGCGAACAAAGAGAGAGAGAGAGAGAGAGAGAGAGAGAGAGAGAGAGAGAGAGAGAGAGAAAGGTCTGAGAGGTGATCCACGCTTAAAAGAACATCGTTCTGAAACATTCTAGGCAACGAGCTCTACCACGAAAAGAAAAGCACGAGATGAACGATGAACGACCGGGTTCCTCGTTCGCGCGAGGATTTACGCCACCGCGTGCAAAACGAACGAAGAAGATCGCTGATGATGTACGGACCGTGAATCGCCGCGGCGCGGTGTGAAAAAGGGCTTATCAAGCCGCACCAGCCGTGCGCCGCCGCCGGCCTCGTCGTCGCGTCGGCGCGAACGAGTGAAAACGTGAGAGATCTCTAAAAAGCACATAATTACATGGTTCTGGACCATGCGCGCGCGGATCAAGGGAACGAACCCGATGATTTATGAGGCCCGTGGGTAAACAACGCGGCGCGAAAGAGCCAAGGTTCCCCCACGAGCTGCACGATTAGGTGCATCCATTACAGGCGCAGCACGTGCTTATGCATGATCGACAGTATCTCTGAAATCCATCCAGTAAGTTCATCGGAAAAATCTTTTTCGCGTATTCATTTTGCTTCTTTACATATAATTTTTTCTTTTTCTTTTTTTTTTGTCACTCGAATATATTGCACATCATGGAAGCTTGTACACAGATACCTATATATTCGTATTAATCCAATTGCGATATGCAGAACGTATGTTATAAAATTAGATTTCGTCTCGTTTTTTCATTTCACTCTTATTAAGATTTCTAATTAATAATTCTGATATATTAAGAAGATCGTGTCCGAGATTGTGTTCGAATCGTCAATTGATACTAACGAAACAGCGAATAAGAAAAAAACTTTTAATTTGCATACATTCAAATATGGTCCGAATAGCGCAACAGGCTCGCCTCAATTTAATTACGAGAAGATTGCGCTGCAGTTATTAATTTTCAAAGTGGAAAGAGCGTGGCGAAAGCAATCCCGTGTAAATCATCGTCATTGTGTTGTTACATTACTACTGAATTACCGTACGCGCAATACAGAACGTGAAACTGAACGAAAATAATCCGCGATATGCATCGCGGGCGTTGCATGAGGATCGCTTATCCGTCGCAGGTGCGCGGGGAGAGGAGAAACGAGCGTAAAAAGGTTCTTGCTTGGGAAAAGAAATCGGCGTTTAGATTTTATAATTCGAACGCGCCTGAGCTTAGAAAGTAGACTGGAAGTAACTAATTAAACGCGCGCGTGAAGGAAGAACAGAGATGGATTGTGCAAAGCAATGAATGGAGATATTCTTTAGAATCCACTGAGAGTGTGTTATACGCACCGAATATTAAAATCTATCCTTAACAAAGGGATATTAAAGCCGATATTATCATTTAAAATTGCTAGTCCTCTTCCGTAATTTGAAATTTTTTAAATTCTTTTAAAATAAATAAAAATGTTTAAAATTTAATTTTAAATTATCTCCAAAATTTTAAAATTAATATAAGAACAATATATAAATATTTTTAAATAATAATATAATAATATAAATGATAATATAAATATTTTCGAAAAGAGTTTATATCTCAAGTAACTCAAATCTAACTGTAATTGTTGTGACATAATAAATTATTACTTTCCAAAGAGGTGCATTTAATGACTTTCTTCGTAAGATAAATGACTTGTATATTAGTATGGATAGCGACAAATAACAAAGCGGATGTAACGAGAGTGCGAAAGGGAGGGGAGACCCCGGGTTCGTCGCGCCTGCAAGGCGTCTCGGTCGCTCGCTCGCTCGCCGGCAGTTATCTAACGTGTTGTCGCACAGTGCATTTACACCGGAAACACGATCACCGGAAGTCATCGTAGGCGATCTGTTTTATTCTCCGTTACACGTACCCTGCCACGTAGAACAAAGATCGGACCAAAGCGTAAAATGCGAAAAAAAAATTTCGAAAGACAATTTTACAACGTCGTTGTAAAATGTGCAAATCAAGTTTCATTTTTATTTCTTTATGACAGACTAAATTACGTAATATTTGAGACGAAAGTCGCGTTATATAAATTTCCTAATTAAGAATTCAACCTGCAAGGGTTGATTGTCAGAGGAAACCAGACTGCGAAAATAGCCGTAATTCATTACGTGTACTCCACTTGCATATACCTGCAAGTGGAGTCGCCTTTTTGCGCTTCAATTCTCCGAACGTTGCCCATAAGTTACTCGACGATACCGTAGGGTAAAAAGGAAACATTTAGTTGATCGGGATCAACGACGCTTATACAGCCAACATTGGTGGCGCAACGGGGCTTTAGTCTCATTCCAAAGGCACTGAATGACTCTCGACGTCTCTTACGAGAGAAACTGTCAGCCAACGCTCGACGCGAACTTCACTGCCGTGCTCGATTATTGAGGCATAACTGCTGAGCTACATGTTAACTCGCCTCGATCAGTCGACGTATCGCGTCAGCAAATATACATCAGATGGGCCAAAAAGTGCATCGGCTGCACCGAGCATTACGCACGTGGTATCGTACAATTACCGTGTCGCGCCACAACACGCGCAATACACTCTGCCGCCGCACCACCACCATTACCGTGGACTGTGTGTTAATAGCATTGAACGTGACTTATGACGGCGGCCGCCGAAGATCGCGCGCGGAATATCAATTAATCGCAATACTAATTAATATGACGTACGTAAAGGGTCGTTAACGCAACGCTCGTTCTATTAATAGAACGGATTCGCGTAACTTTCATCTTTTTTCCCCCCCTTCCCCGGTCTCGAGACCGGCGCTCAAACGAGCCGCGTACAAATCGGTCGGCGCGGCACATTTCAGCACTCCGACGTTACTGCCAATCATCCGAGTTAATTCGCACGACTCTTTTTCCCGTCACGTCTTATCTCGTGTCCGCGTGTGCAGACTCAATTTGCGCGGCTCTACATTCTCGAATCCGCTCGTCACGTCGTAAAACGTCAGACCTGGTTCCGAAGGCCCTTTTCGAGAAGGATCGAATAAGGATCTAATTACGCGAAATAGCGACGTGGAAAATCAACGGAAACTCGCGCGAAAATTAAGTCATTAGAAATGCAAGTGATAGATAACAAATTTAAAAAAAGATCAAATGAAATGAAGTGTGCCAATAAGAGCCAAACGCAGTAGTTAAAGCGTAAGAAAATTTCTTTATTAATAAAAAAGAGATTATTTCTTTTCTATATACACTTTCTATTTTATTCGATTTTATTTTTCGACCATTTTAGTTTACATTTTAGTTTTATCATAATTTATTCGTTTTAATCACTGACTACATTAGATTTGATTTTATTTTTCGACCGTTTTAGTTTTACATATCATAACTTATTCGGTTTTAATCATTGACTATTAAAGCTTTGACGTGACAATGGTCAGTAGAAGACTTCCTTGAATAAGATTTAGCGGACGCTACTTTCGCATACTTCTCATATTATCGGACTCGTTGCTGGGTTTAGACCTTTCTGCAGCTTAAAATTATCAAACATGTAATATTTCTATGTAATATTTCTTCGCACTGAAGAGGAAACCAAAAAGTCGAAACGTTTGCGATCTCTCTTTTTTATTAATAAAGAAATTTTCTTACGCTTTAATTACTGCGTTTGGCTCTTATTCGCACACTTCATTTCATTTGATTTGTTATCTCAGAGTCTTTAAAATTAAATTAATTGTTTAAAAAAAGAATAAATATTCTAATCGCTTTTCACACTTCCAATTACAGCGCTAAATCCAATTATCTGAATTTTTTTATTGAAACAGAATATCGCATTCATAATTTTTATATAATATCGCACACATAATTTTTATATAATAAAATTACATGTATTTTGAAAGGAGTGAAAGAAATTGCCGATAGAAATGTAGCGTGATAGCAAACTTTTTAAAAAAATCTTAGATAATTGGGAAACGAATAGATTTTCTGATCGCTTTTCACAATTAAAGCTTCGTCTAATTATCTGAATTTTTCTTTCTGTTTAAACAAACATCGCGCTCGATATAATCTCTTCAATAAGAAAACAACGTGTATCTTGAAGTAGCGAAAGAAATCGCCGATGGAAATTATTTCATACTTCAGTCGGAAGCCACTAGACTTTCACAAAATTATATTTTCAATCGTGGCGCGCGCGAACTTCCGCGGCTCCGCATATCGCGGTAGTCTCGCAAACCGGCGCTACGTGATGCACTTTATTATCGGAAGCACGTGCGAGCGTCCCTCGATACGATCAGCGAGATTGTGCTTACATCAATCGTAAATACGCGTATCTCTTTCTTTCCTCAAAAAAAAAAAAAAATGGACGGGATCAAGCCGGATCGTCACAGCGATCGAATTAGTATGTAACTATTCCTCTTCCTCCTCCTCTTCCTCTCTCGACGAGGCGTTTACGATACGCCGGCGGGACGCCACGGAGACGTGCCGATAAATATGTACACGTCGTTCCGTATAAGGCGGACGACCGCCGCTCGCATTGTCCCCGATCGTTTCGTATCTTTCCCACGCGTCCACTTTCGCGGCCTCTCCCTCTCTCTCTCTCTCTCTCTTTCATCACGAATGCACGGGAAACGCGAGCCCGCAGCATGATAATGCCTCTGTGGAGTATCGTTCGCTTCGAGATAAATACGCAACAATACCCTTTGTTAAAATAATTTAAAAGGTATCTTTGACTAAAAATTATAAACATTTAATTTAACGTCCGCGTTCAAGAAAGTTCAGATTCACAGAGAGATAGTTTTGCATCACCATTACGATAGAAGATCGTTTTTTCTGTAGAAAAACAGCCGCTTGCCGGCTACGACGAACGAACGAAAAATATACTAACGTAAATACGACCGATTTAGCAAATGTTCGCGTGTTGTGACTCTTAAAGAGGATATCCTTTTGTGCATTCTAAGGAGAGAGGCAGCAAGCTTTCATTTTAATATGTAATACTGCTGCCAGTCAGAATGTATCCATCTTTGGAGTAAGTAGCCAGGATAATTTGTCAGCCTGATATGCCAGCCAGCCCTGACCTTATACACTTTCGAATGCTCCAGACACAGCTCGCGTGGCTCCTTTAGGCCATTTTTGAAGAGCCAGCCAAACAGCCCGAGGATAAGACTCAGGGACGTCAGGATCTGCTAACCTTTCTCCTCTTGTCATCGGCAAAGCCGATCTTAAGGACGGTTACTCGCAGACTGCAGTTGCGCCTTCCAGCCAGAATTAATTCGCTTTCGTGTTAACTTGCCAAACCTTGCGCACCTTTATAAACATCTATACGGTCATTTGTGTAACGGAAACGATTATCTACACGAGAAGAAGAAGAAGAAGAAGAACTTCCGCATTCATATTTTCACCCGTATTTCCCGTATTTAAAAGAAATCGCGTCGTCGGTATCGCGAATCGCAGCGAATTTACCGAGCTTTAATTAAAATCCTCGAGAAAACTATATACACCGTTAGGAGGAACGTGCGCGAGCCGTTATCCTTGGACGCGTAACTTTTTTTCGAAAGTTCAGGGATAGCCCGATAAATCGTGTCAACCACAACGGCCCATTAATCACGCGTATTAGCATAATGGTCGGGGGAGAGGAGGCTTAGTGATCGACGATGATAACACGATAAGCCGGTGCAAGATTATCGATCCGCGATGGACCGAGATCCCTGTCAGCGATACGAAACAGCCAGTGCTTTTAGGCCGCTAATTTCCGCATGTGAGATTAATCCCTGGACGACTATAAGCGCACCGTCCTCGGGGCGAACTGGTCCCGTCAACGATCGTAAACTCGACCGGTTATAGTTATCACCGCAGAGAAATTGATCATTAATTTACGTCTATGTTATTAATAGCCACTAATTCGGCTCTGAGATAACAGTTATTACGAAAATCTCACACTAATATTTTGAGAAATGGATCGTACGCCCGGGAACATCACCGTGAAACGTTAAACGCTAATATCGTCTTGCGTATATACTATCAGAAGATTACGGTTAATACGTGAAAATAAATAAAGAACGGTTGTATCAACCGTGACGAAGCATAATCGGAGAAATTATACGTATTTGAATCATCTGATCTTGTGCGTGAAACAAGTAATTCACAAAAATTATGAATACATAGATAAATTCTCCATCGTGTGTCAGATAAGTATATGAAAAAAAAATTCCCAATCAAAAGATAAAAGCGAAAGAGAACAAAAAGTCAAGGTTTATGTTGCCTCTTTTTTAAAACGTTAAATTTGAATTTAAAAAAACAAAAACGTGCTTTCCATTCTAGAAATAAAATTTTGTTTGGCTCGTAAAAAGTTTCTATTATGGAATCGTAAATAGAATTCATAACGTACGTGTAGTAAGTACTTGACAAAAACGCAAAATTTTGACGTACGTTATGAATTCTATATTTACGATTCCATAATAGGAACTTTTTACAGACCAAACGAAATGTTATTCCTAGAATGGAAAGCACGTTTGTTTTTTTTTTTTTTTTCAAATCTAATGCAATACATGATATGCTAATTCATAAGTAAAAAAGCGACAGAATTAATGAAAATTTGTTAGCCTAGGCTCTACTAAGATGCCGTTAATAGATTGATTATGCATGCGACTGATTTCATATAATAGCTCAGAGAAGAATCTTACCTTCGGACTTTAGGATCAAATCCTTCTCGTCCACGGCGATGCACGGCAGACGGTCCTTCAGCTCCTCGATCTCGATCTCCAGCTCGGTCTCATCCTCGGGCCTGACGGTTCTCTCGTCAGACAATCTCCTCTCCTCCGGCAATATCCTCCCCTGCTCCCTGGGAACGTCGATCTTCGAGCAGGATAGTGAGTTGTTGAGTGAGGATCGCGGCTCGTTGCCGATCTTGTCTTGCTTCTTGAACGCGTTGAAACGATCGTACTTCTTGGACGGAACAAACTTGTCTATCTTGATCCTGTCGGGACCAGGCGGCGCGAGTTTCTTCACTTCCGGCACGATCCTCGGCTCCTTGTACCTGACCCTGTCCACCTTTGGGTCCCTGATATTTGGGATTGTGATGAAGTTGTGTTTCTCCTGTTGCTCCTGCGGCACGATTGGCGCCTCCTCCTCCTTTCTTTTACACTCGGGGCTGTTGTCCCGCTGCTCCTTGCCGCAACTGGCGATTCTGCCGATCCTGCTCCACGAGAGTCGTGTCGCCTCGGACGGTTTCTCAGGCGCGAATATCACGTTATCAACGTTGAAGAGCACGTTCTTCCTCTTGCTCTCGATCACGCGGCCGCGCTTCAGGATGCTCTTCAGTGTCTGCCGGGCCTCCTTCAATCGCCTCGGCGGTCTCTTTGGCGATACCTTCGGTATCGGGATCCTCGTGACCGGCGGTGGCACGTCGTCATCGTCGTCCGATATCTCTCTAGGCCTCTCGTTAAACACCCTGATCCGTTGACCTCCGATCGCCGCTACGGCACTCCTATTCGGTATCCTCTCGATCGACTTCACTTTCGACGGATCGAACAGGCTGGACGATCGCGTTCTAAGATCGTCCTTCTCCAGCGCGTTGTCCGACAGATCGTCGCTCAGATCGTCCTCGTCCTTCTGCTTCTTCAGTAACAGATACGGATTCACGTCGCACTCGAGGATGCTCTTCCGCGAGTCCGCGGTAATTGACGTTGCTGTCCCGTTTTTCCAGTCGTCCTGGCTGGTCCTCCTCTGATTTACCTCCCTCGTCGGCTTCTTCGAGACGCGAGTCAGCCTGGCGGACGTCGTCGCGGTGGAATGAGTTCGCGAGTGACTCTCCGGAGTCTCGTCCAGCATCCACTCGTCCGAGGACGCGCCGCCGCCACCGCCGCCGCCGCC